GAAACAGTTTGTCACAGCCCCTCGTTTGTTGTCCTCTTCTCCCTCTCTGCCTACGGTTTACCGGGCAGTTCTATTTGACGATATATATATATATATCGTCATTATATATATATTTTTTGGTAAATATTTCGATGTGACCCTGAGGCAAAAGTTGTTCAGTTTACTTTCTTTTTTTTTTTGCTGGGACGTTCTATGGTCCTTGCACAGCCGGGCAGCCCGGGCAAACAAAGGTGAGCCCGGCGGCTCGGCTGGTAGCCTAGTTATTTATTATATAAAAAAAAAAGTTCTATCTCACGGACTCACACTCCTTTAAACCCCTTATATAACCCCTGAAAACCCATTTACACCCAGTGGACACCCTACGGTGAGACATCACCAAACTCGATGATAAGGCCGGATTTGACCACACATGTCAGACAAGGCAACAGGTGGTACCCATAAAAAATACCCTATGGTCCCAACCGGTACTCCCCTCCGCCAGCCTAGATTGTCGTTGGCGCACAGGTGGAATCCGCCTTGACCAAAAGGGTCACGGAGTTACTGGCAGTTTCAGCCTTGTTTTTTTGGCCTGCCAAGCTGATGCAATGAACCTCACAGTTCAACACCAATGAGTGCACATATTCACACCACAATCATGTATGAGATCACACGAAGTTCACACTGGAGACCAGAGGGATTAAGACCAGATAGCGCAGCTTATGAATTCCAACGAATTATACAAGAGCAATAAGAGTTCCAAGTCACCAGTGCTCATCAGCGCATGTCAAAAGTAACCGTTATCCAGCACAAACTCTCAGGTAAGATTCTCTTCTCCCACTGCTCTTCTCCCTCTTGAATCTCCCCTCCTTACTGTTCTTCTCTCTAGCTATGTCCTCGCTGTGTCTTCTCTCACTACATGCGTGCACTTGCACTAACTTCAACTCAAGAATCTACTCTGAATACACCCACTGACTAGCCTACTAACTATCTAAGTCTGCTACTAACACTATTTGCTGGCGCAGCTATGGCTGCCTTCTCCCTGCCAGCGCTATCTTCTTCTCTCTCATAGCACATCACTCTGGCTTCAGCGCTCTGCCCCTCGCTTCAGCGCACAAGTGCACCAGCACTTCCACACTGCTTGCGAATGAGCAATCTGCCCGAATGTGAGGCTGGCCAGTCCTTTTGTAGTCTTGGTTTGCACTCCAACTCGTGCCAGCCTCTGTTTCTTGGGTCCTGACTGGTTCCGGTACCACATCCCCTCGGCCTGTCTGCTTCTGAATGTCAAGGCCTGGAACCTTCCCGAATTTCCATTGGACTGCTGCTGCTTGGGCCTTTGAGTCATGACTTTTCACTTGTGAACATGACTTTTGACTGTGGATAGTGACTCCTGCCTGTTGGTCATGACTTTTGCCTGTGATACTGCCTTTACTCGAGGGATGCGACTCTTCAATATGACTTTTCATTAGGAAACGTGACTCCTGCCTTTGAGACATGACACCTACTTGTGAAACTGCCTTTTCACTCGTGGGGTGTGAATCTTTTGAATGGCTTTTATTATGAGACGTGACTCTTGTCCCTGAGATGTGACTGTTTGCTGGGTGCCTGTTGGACCAGACTGCTGAGGTACCCGATTGTGACTTTTCTGAGTTTGACGAACTTGGCCTTTTCTTGTCCTGGGCATCTAACCCTGAGATTCGACTTTGGGGTCTGAATCGTGGAAGGCCTTTCACTGACCCCGGCACGTGGGTAAGGGCTGCCAAGGCCTGGTGTACCCGCCAACACTTGCATGTTTCACACACCTCCCACTGATTAAACCGACAGTACCTTTCTCAGCTGTCGGTGCCGAGCCTAAATTCGAACTGCACGCTACGAAAAAACGAACCGGCGCACTTTCGAATTTGGCTGGCACCTCCAGCCATTTCGCCCGCCCCCCACGTTAACACGCACGCATTTGTTTTTCAAGCGGGGAAAGGTACTGGCGGTTTAATGTCCTGCGTCACACACACAGGCCAAAACCCATTGCCACATCCAAAGTCGTCAGATGGCTCCTCTGTCTTACGATCCGGTCTCGACCTCCAACCTGTTCTACCTCCTCCTCTAGTCGACACCAGAGTTGAAGAGTTTTCGCCGGAAACAGACTTTGAAACATCAACCCAGCATAACAACATGCTTTGCATCTTAATATTGGCCCTCGCTCCACTACACAACACACACACTACATGCATTTGGACGTTTCCTGGACCAGGTGCATTCAGGCAAGTTCAACATTTGAACGAATCGGCCCTCCCTGAACCTTAAAGCAGCAGTACGTTCCCAAAGTGCCGCCAAATGTGTGCTGGGATCTACGGGTCTGCCGAGCAAGGACAAATTCATTTGTGACAGGCTGTCATGGCACTGTAGCACTATCTGGGAAAAGTACTGGTGGTTTCCACCAGTACTTCCTAAAGTCGTGCCCGTTAACGAGCCACAATTTTAGGAAACATACGGGCCACTACAGGAGCACCCAAGTTCATCCGACTCTAAATGTTTCTACTCTATTTTTTTTGCCATGGCCAATAGCTGGGCCAGTACTGGTGGTTTGACAAACATGATATGCATGCTCACATGAAGTGCATGTTACGATGCCATTACATTTACACCTTACCTTGAGAAACGATGCAGCTGCTCCATACGCACCGCTGAAAACCGACACTTCGGCTTGGCCTTTGAGAGCCGATACCAGCCCACAAAGTGCGGCCACGTGTTTTGGGGAGCGACAAAGTGCCCTTTGAAATCCTTCCACCGCCTGCACATGGCATTCGAACAGCAGCGCACAAACAGTTTGGGAGTAAAAGTCAGATTTTATGAGTTCCAGCTCCCGCTCTCCCCTACGGATGTGAGTGTCGAGCTCCAGATGATCCCATTGGGTCCATGCCCATCCATCTGTCCCAGTAGTCGGCCAGTCCCATCTCACAGTAGCCTAACTGATGCCTTCATAGATAGGCAGGCATCAGAGGTCATTCCCCGAAGACGAACTGCGCTTTGAAAAAACATTGGAATATAGCGGCTGCTACCGTCTTCACCCGAATACAACGTACGGCCATTATTGCTGTATATAGACTCGAAGTTGCCCCAAATACACAAGCTATAATGACCGTACGTTGTATTCGGGTGAAGACGGTAGCCATTGTGCGACGTCTCGCGGACATGTAGGGAACTTCACTGGAGTCCGAGAAGCCTGGCCTTGTTTATCCAGATCACACGGAAGGCCTATTATTTGCTTCGCTCGTAGTAACTGCAGCTGCTACAGAATTTGGTTTCGGGTTCGCTGCTCTTTTTATTACTTGGAGACATGGCCCTCGTAGAGAACTTCCACACCATCTTTCATCCGATGGGTAAGGAGGGTCATCAAGATTCAAAGTGGCCGGCCTGGCGCTTCAGCTACTGGCGCAGCCCCGAATCGTAAAGCTCATGCCGCATATACCAGTAAGAGCTGTACTCAGCTTCGTGTTAACTGGCGGTTTAAATAGTGCTTGCTAAGCCTTGCTTGCATCTTGTTGGGTCTTTCTACAAATTCTTAAGCCCAGAAGGGGTCAGACAGACAAAGGAGGGAAAGATAATACATGAAAGGAGAGCAAGACCAAAGAAGGGGGGGGTAGCGGGGGGGAAGTGGGAGGGGATAGACCACACAAAAACAAAGGAACGAAGGACGCCAATAGATCATACCTTTGAGTGCAAACCCATTTGGTGATTGATAATGGAGGCTTGGATGAGAGAAAATACTCGATCACTGTCCAACTGAAGCACCCGGCCATATGACTGCCGGCACATACATTGATTTCAGCCACACATTGACAAACAACACACCAAGGAACACATGTAATAAGGAATTCCAACCAAAAAAAAAACAAAAAAAAACAAAGAGAGCTATGACTCAAAATCATAGAAATCATAGTTACCAGCGGTCCAGCGGACATGTTCAGCAAACAACACTGGACATGCAAACGTCAGCAGACGGACGTGTCCTGCAGAAACACGTCTACACGTCTGCTATCACCTCTTTCCTTACTGGACATCGCCGAGCATGTGGACGTGTCTGGAAAGAGTCCACTGGACTGCCAAACGCATCTGCAAAAACTCGAAGGAAGGGGGGGTTACAAAACACTCAAAAGGAAAAGAAAGAAAGAAAGAAAGAAAGCTCATACAGCGCACTATTCTTTCGCCATTGATCGCCAAGAAAAAAAAGAAAAAAAAATACATATGAAGGGGCAGAAGAAAGCTCATATGGTTCCTGACTTCGCAACATGCTTTGGACATAGAAGGCGAGGGAGGGGGGTGGGGTGGGGGGGGGGGGGGGGGGGGGGGGAGTGGGGGGTTGGGAAGTGGCCTCTTAAGGGAGGTCTAAAGTTGTTGCGTAAAGTTCGTAAACAAATAGGGAACCAAAGGGGAGAGCTGACAATGATTGCATCAAACAGGCAGATGCTCTGCGTCTGCGTCGTCAGGTTGAATGTACACAACTCCACAAAAAAAAAGCATGGTGTGTTGTAGATTTTCAAGTTCTCACCACAACAAAAGCACCTTTTCCACCCAGCTGAGAAGATCCAAAATCGAATCAGCTTGGCCTCTATTGAGCGAGTGAATTATGAGAGAGAGAGGCTCTCTTTTCTGCACACATGTCACTTGCAACACCTTGCCTTTCATTCATGCCGTTTTGGTAACTATGAACAAAATCCTTGAGTCACTTTTTTGCATACCCGCCGCAGAACTCTGACCAACAGAAAAAGTGGAGATTCAACCAACCCTCTTGGTTCACACACATGTCGCTAGCCAGAATGGCGCATGCACTCGGTCCGTAAACCGATCCCACCCTTATTCCCATTTCCATTCACAAAGCAGTTCCCTCCTGGCCTCCTCCCCAAACCCCTCCCTGTTCCCC